TAAGAACATTTCTTGAATTTATGAAGTGAAACTTCTTTAGCGCCAGTTGGTTGGTTGGGAGTAAATTGTCAAATTCAAGGGGAATAATGCACATGGAAATGGTTCTCAGCGGTTGTATTTTTCTATATGTTTATGGATATTGTTATTGGTATTTTTATTGAAGCAGTTATCGACAGGGTTACCGATTTAATAATCGGAACATGGAATGCGATCACATTACATGACATCACATCACATTATATTACATGATATGATGAGACATCACATTATATTACATCACATAATATGATATCACATCAACGATATCACGTGATATGACATCATATGATATGATATCACATTATATAGCATGACATCACATGACTTGACATCACACGATATGACATCGCATTACATAACGTGGCATCACATGATATGACATCATATGGTATGACAACATATGATATGACATCACAGGATATGGCAGCACATGGCATGACATGCTATCACATCACATAAAATCACGTCACATCTTATCACGTCATCACACCTCATCTCATCTACGTGAATAGATAAAGAAAAGAATATAATCAACGATATGAAAGATAAAAACAAAGATGAAGACCAAGGTAAAGTTACCGATTTCAAAACCCAGAACACCGTTGGAAAGGTAATTTTCTGTAGATGAGGAGAGTTTTTGTAGTTTCGAAATTGGTTGAAGATCGTTGTTTAAAAATTTCCATATTTGTGTATGGTTGTTTTTGCAACCTGTTCAATTTTAACTGTTTCGCATTTTGTTTTACTTCGTATTTGAAATTAAACTTTGAAATAAAGATAAATATGAAGATGAAGAAACAAGTGATAACGATGAAGACAAAAAAAGAAGGCAAAAGTGAATATAAAGACGAAAATGGAGATAAAGACCAAAATGGAGACTATGAGAAATACATAAGAATTAGGGTAACTGAATTGAAATTTTCCATAAAAGTTACCGAAATTTATCGAGTCGTCGAAGTTTATAATTATCGAAATTTATTCATGCTTATTAAGTTATAACGTATCGAATTATTCAAATTGATCAATGTTTATTGAGTTGTCGAAATAAATAGACACAGAAGCTTAGTTGTCGAAATTTACGGAGAGTTATCGAGCTATAAAAACATGTGGGATTATCGAAATTTGTCAAGTTAAAGAAATGTATCAAGTTATCGAAATTTATTGAATTATCATTATTTATAAACTTAACGAAATTTATCGAGTTGTAGTAATGCATGGAGTTCTTTCAACTTACAGAGTTATCGATAATTATTGATCTACTGAAATTGGTTGATTCATCGAATCGAAGTTTATGGAATTTTCAAAATATATCCATTAATCGAAATTTCAAGATTATATAAGCTTATCGATTTATCACTGCTTATCGAATTTTATCGTGTTAACAGAGTGTAATGAGTTATCAAAATTTTTCGATAGCTTACGAAAGGAACTATCAAAAGTAAAAATTTTTATAGGTATCCAAAGAATTTACATTTTCGAGTTATCGAAATTTATCGAGCCCTTGAATTTCACAGTTATTGAAATTGGCCGAGTGAACGAATTTTGTTGAGTTATCAGATTTTAGTGTTTTTTAAATTCATCAAACTCTCGATATGTATGAAATCATTAATATTTATCGATAAAGTGGAATGTATCGGGTCAATTCTAAGTCCTGCTGAAGTCGAAAGACCTAAGATAAAAAAAATTTAGTTTCGTTTTAGTTCCAAAGCAGAAGATGTTCCGGTAAGTTAATTTGTACCGTATAAGTTTTGCTACGTGTTAAGTTAGAAACCCTCTCCAAGGCTCCTAAAAGCTAGAAAAACTGTCGAATTTCGACAGTAACTGGCACTCTAGTATAAATAAATCTTTCAAACTACCCCACTGTGATCTGGAAGGTAGATCTGGCGCGAATTTATTCAAAAATAGACTGGTCGCATAGCTGATTTTGTTTATGCTTATCTTATAGCTAAAAGAATGCACTACACGAATCAACAAACATTTGAAACAATACATATTTTTGTTAGTGAAAACCACACTCGAAATGAATCTACCCGCAAAAACAGTGTACCTAGCAGTTACATGTCTCGTGAAAATATTCGTAAAATACTGGTCTTTTCAATGGAAAAGTGTGGAGTTTTTGTGTGTACCAAGGTGTATTTAAGAAGTTGGTGTTAGTCGTATATAAGTAAAAAATTACACTAACAAATTACACACTGTCATTGGCATAAGTTGCAACAAACACATCACTTTGACGTGATGCTCTCTACGGCAAGAAACTCAGCTGTCGCCCCAAACACCACCTTGTTAAATACACCTTGATGTGTACGTTATGGAAAAAGTATCCCAAAGTTAGTTTTTATAATTATGTGTAAAAATTTTTAATTATTAATAAATAGTTTTGTTAACACGACTTGGTTTATGAAACAATTCTTTTAAAAGTACTTTTGCGAACATTTTTAAGGTTTTAAAAAATTGCAGGTGTTTGCAGGTCTTGGTAATGATTTCAAAAATATTTTAACTATTTAGCTTGACGTTTCAATGTAAATAAAGTCCTTCAGCGATAGCCTATAATTTTAATGAATTTATTTCAATGTGTCCCCGTGCAATTACTCATATGGAGCTTTTTGATGAGTGGTTGAAGTTCAAAGTTTTGAAACCTAATTAAATACTTGCTACTATCTTCCGACCCTGTTATATCCGTTATATCGGTCAAAAAATAAAATTATAAAACACAAAATTATCTCGACTTTGAAGCTGTAAATATGCTAAAACCGCCTGTTGAGCAATTGTCAGTTGATATCCCATCGGATTTTAATGACGACTAATATTTTGGAGTTTTTCGAGATTTTGGCCCCTATTATGATTCTCATTCGACAGCGTCCACGCGCCAAATAAAAGAGCGGGCATGAGAAGAATTTTTTAGAATATAGGCCCTTATTATGAGTTGCATTCGATTTTCGATCTTCGCTGGCTATCGAAGATCGAAAGTGAAATTCGTATTATAAGCTATGCAAGCGTGTCGAAATTTTGGTTGAGCATCGAATTTTCTGTCGAACAGACATTTGCTTTCGTTGGTATAGCGAAGTGTTAGAAAATTATGAAAAATGTAGTATTTTGCATTTGTTTTCTTACTCTTTGGCGGCTAGACACTAATTAAAAAAAAAAATTGTTTATTGATTTCATGCAGTTCTAACGTCGTGAATACTACACACAAGCTCGAAAGGCTGGTTTTACTTATGAAAGAAAATCCCAATACTCTGTTGGCACGATCTCTGAGAACAAAATTATATAGCTGTTTATAGTTTTAATATATTTTAAATTGATTTGGATCACAAAATTTCTTAAATATACTGTATGTCAAAATATATTCGAAAGACTACATTAAACTCTCTTAAACGTTTTCTGCTCCTGGCCATTTTTCTAAGCTCTCACCCTCTGACGAATCGTTGAACCAGAACTACGTTGTACTAATTTATACCACGTTTTCATAAACTCGCTTTCTTTTTTATTTCATTTTAATTTGCACAAATTTACAGTTATTGCAGCTATGTGCCCGCAGTACTAGAAATACTCCGAAAAAACGGGTATACGCTTACTTGCTTATAGCCGTTTTTGATCGCAGGCGAATCTGATGAGTGTGCTTTGATTTCGATGTAAAAAATAATTATAAACCAAGGCGAATTCATATAAGGTGGTATCGATTCAACAAATACAACAATTACTTGGTATTTTGTTTTTGCTTTTAGCTGGTCATTGTCACATTTCAGCTATTCTTCTCCGAATGAAAAAGGCCGACAGAAAATGCAAACACTCTCACGTTTTCACTCACTCACTAACAAAATATAAAATTTTGACAATCAAACGCTACTCACAGCTGATTAAACAACACCACCTTATATAAATTCGCCTTGTTATAAACCGACTAAATACATACATACATATGTATGCACATACCACTTACACTACATAGATTCTACTATTTAATTTGATCGCTTGCAATTGGAATTCAACAATTAACAAAGGTAAAAGTATGGAGGTAGACAGCGTCCACTGTACATTAGAAAATGTATTCAATCCACCGATACATTGACCAATGACCAAATACATAAGTCGTATGCGACAGGCGAGGCCATCACTTCCTTATATTTGTAATTATTTAGGGTATACATTTTTTTTTTAATTATGAGAGTGTTCCTGGTAACTTTGCGTCATACCGACTGCTGGACATCATTGCCACAAAAACGAGCTCTGTTATTACGGCAATAAGAAAAGGAGCTATTGGACGATGGTCCAAAAAAAATTGGCCAATCTAAATACAATAGCCTTAAAACAAACGCTAAAGCAATATTTTCACAAAGATTTCCATTCGTTTTATGATAATCTACCTCGATAAATACTTAGTTTTACATTTTTATGCAATTTACTATGTTATGCAAATTTGCTTAATGTATACAAATGTGAAAGTATTTAATAAAAATTCAATTATAGTTATATTGAAATTATTTCTTGTATATACGTGCTTTCATCATCACCCATCGAAACTTTGGAACAGTGCATTGGGTCAAGTTAATACGCTGACCGAAAAAACAGTTCGCATCTCTGGTAATTTCATGGTTGCGGCATGTTTGCTTTAGTGATGCCCTGAACTTTGTGACCTTGTTAGAATAGGGAGGGGGGTTTAAGCAAAAAATTAAAAATCATAAAACAATGATTAAATGCTGATTTAAATTATTTTACTTAAGCGTGCCTACAAATATGCAATCTGAAAGATTTATCTTCAGTTTCACCAATCAATTATACAATTTATCAGACTGTTAAAATTTAAAAAGACTAATTTTCCGAACAAAATTGTGTACTTTTAACTTTTAACAGGCTGATAAATTTAAAATTGATTGCTGCAACCGGGCATTAGAGAATGTAGCAACGGCTTGATAACATAAGTTTCGCAAATGGTCATTCGATTCAAAAAACTTTTATTGAACACGTACTTTTCGACTTTGGACATTTAATTGCAATCTATTGATAAAGTACATAATATAACAAAATATAAAAATGTTTAACAATAAAAGCCTTCATAATGGAATTGAAAAAATAATGTTGCACAACACTTTGAATTCTATACCATCCTTCTACACCGGCCGCTTACTCAGTCACGCTTACTTTGGCGCCATAACTCGCACCATACCGGGCAAGATTTCCGCCTGCAGTGGACCAAATTCAATACGTTCACCATCCACAGTAAGGATGCCCTCATTGTCATAGGGTTCTATGCGAAAAGCCGTCACTGGCACCATTTTTATAAATTCATTATTAGTCACAGGCACATGCGTGCCAGAACTCATGCCCATCATGAAGTTCAATAACTGCGAACGACTTATGCCGGTACGTATGATGACCACATAAATGATGCCGTCATTGAATTTTGCCTGTGGCACAAAAAAACAATCACTACCCAAATGTGTTTGATAAGCTGCCTGTACCATGACGAATTCACCTTCCTCCACAATCCAGTCGTCGGGTACGGGCTCCTCAAGTGTTGGCGCATTACCTGTTGGACCACAAAAATTTACACTCAAATTGCTGAGATGTAGGCGCCGCGATTCGCTGTCGCTATCACCTTCTACGCTCTGATAAATACTTTCCGAGACGGAATGGTAAGTACTGCGACAGGAGCCAGGTGAAAACCAACTGTCGCAACGTGAATGCAGTGATTGATTCAGCGAGTTTTGTAGTGAAATTACATCATAATATTTGCTTGCTTCAATGCATTCATTGGATTGAAAACAACCCCTGTTCAGTTTATCCAAACAGGTATTACAACTTCTACTATGCTTCAATGGCAGTGGATCTGCCACCGATAGCGATATTACATCGCTTTCCATGTAAAAATTATCCTTTGGAAGATATGACACTTTGCCCCGATATGTACGTAAACTTATAAGGCGATGTAAGGTCCAAATTGTAAATCTTTGATAGCCAAGCGAACGTAGGCGTTCGCTTTCGATATCAATATCTGAGATGAGTCCCCAACCAACGGAAAGGAAGGAATACAGTATCTGATAGAGAAGAAATAAATTGGTCCTTTAAAGTAAATTCATATAAAACTTTAAGTATGTACATCTGTATATGTATTTATGCGGGAGAATTACTTGATTTTGTTGCTGTATTCGCACAACATCCATGGGAATGGATTTGCCGCTCAGCGTTGTCAGTGTAGCGCCCAAGATTGGCTTTGGCTCATATGGTTCTCTAGAATTAAACGTATAAGTAATTTTTGAGTTTTGAAAGTGAAATGAATTTATTGATACATATGTTAGTAAATAGAAAGAAAATCGAATTAAAACTTCAATTTTGGTAAAATCATTTATTTTTGGAAAACATTTAGTTTTTTCGTAATATACAGCGTGGCGACGAATAACTGTTACCCAGGTTTTTTTGAGAAATAAAAGGGTCCTTTAAAGATTTTGCGAAAAAAGTATTTTATTAATAATTTTCCACAGATTTTACTTTAGTTGCATTAATTAGTTTTTAAATTTTAATCCTTATTTACATTTGCCAGCAGTGTAAACTTTGAGAGAAAAGTTCATTTGGCACGCAAGTCTTTTTCAGGTGTATTTTTTCTTAGGCTTTGTATAAAAAAAGTACAAAAAAGAAAAAAACTGTATAAGGTTGGTCGAATGAATGACCGTCCTAGTCACCAGTTCCGAGTCTATTCGATTTTTGAGTATGAGGCCTTAGGTTGGACAGAAGGGGGAGTATAAGGGACTCAAAATGGAGAAAATTAGCCTATGGTTACAGAAGATATGGAATAAATTAACTGACGAAGACCTGCGTGCCAAATGAACTTTCCTCTCAAAGTTTACACTGCTGGCAAATGTAAATAAGGATTAAAATTTAAAAACTAATTAATGCAACTAAAGTAAAATCTGTGGAAAAATAACAATAAAATACTTTTTTCGCAAAATCTATAAAGGACTCTTTTATTTCTCAAAAATATCTGGGTAACAGTTATTCGTCGCCACGCTGTATTTTCATTTGAAATTAATAAATGGTATATATTACAAAAGGCAATTCTGATTTTGATGCGGCAAATGTTAAAGCTGTTTTTGATACAGTTTTTGTGTGCTCATTACGAATCCGTAAGTATAAAGTTTCCATCGGCTCCAGATTTTGAGAAAAACGAGGTCAAAGTGTCAAAAAATCGCATTTTTTGCAAAATTTGAGAAGGTTATATTCATTTAGTCTGTTCCTTTGAACTTCTGACTAAAACCTGTGGAACTGTCAAGCTACAATGTTACTCTCCCAAGTGAGAGTAAAATGAGAACTGAATCAGAAGTGCACGGGAACGCAAAAAGCACTATTTCCTGTAAAAACGTCAGTCGGTTTGTTTACATGTCATTGGTACAACACTGATTTGGCTGAAATATCACTAAATAATTATTAAAATCTATACATATTCAATCATTTCTTTGTTTACTTCCATTTTTTTACAAATATAAGGTTCTTTGCTTTCGCCGCTTTTTGATTTTGCTTGCACATGCAAATCAGCTGATCGTTTGACACTTTTTATGAACTTACAGGAAAAAAACTCGGGACTAAATCCTGTAACTTCTGACTAGGAGCAGTTGCTCATATACTCTCTCAAAAGTGTTCCCACTTACAGGTTTTATGTCAATAGGAACGACTTCCTGTAAGTTCTGACTAAATCCTGTAAACCGGACTGCTATTGGAACAGACTAAATTTACTTATTTTGCTCGTCCAACAATAAAAAAATGGATAATTATAACTATTTGCCATATCCTGAGTTTTGCCCGAAAAAAATGTCACCCGAAAATTTTTATTCCGCCCATAATACCTAAATACATGAAAACCAAAAGTGAAAACTGAACCGGTTCGGGGAAAATTAAATTCAAGATAAGGCAGTATAAAGACTGGTTTCCATTATGTCATATATTGACACCAAAATTTGGCGACATATTTTGACACAACTTTATCTCCTTTATCCATACCTTTGCCGATGATATTATGGGCCCAAAAACTGACAGTCGATTTCGAAGTGCATGTACACGACTAAAGACCTATCCTGATCCAATTCAATCGATAAAGCGATTTTTGATTTCATTTGACAATGTGTTTTTACTTATTTGATGACAAATGCCACTGAATTTGACATAGTGAAAACCAGCCTTAAGTGACCTTAAAATCAAGGTGCCGGGATTATAGTCGAAAGTTCAAGCCTTAATTTAAGCATGAATTTGATGAAATGTCATAATTTTATTAAAAGTCAAATGGTTAACAACAACAACCAATGTCATTAAATGAAACTACCTTCTTTTTTGTATCATGGGCAAAACTGATTGTATGTTGTCAGCGTAAATCAAAGTTTGAAATTTTGTAAAAAATTTAAAAAAGGTATAAAAATTCTGAGACTTAATCAAAATTTCAAAAGAAGCTTCTTCAAATTTTCACTTTATTAAACTAATGAGGTAAAATCTGCATACCAAAGATGCTGATTAAAAAGTTCCCACGACCAAGGGCTGTTGTTTCGGCAATCTAACCCCGTTTAGGTCGGCGAAGTATCTCAGAAGTTGTTCGTCCATAGGGCTACATTCGCTACGTATTCTTCTGCTCAGGGCTGGCATCGAGTCAAACCCAGGGCCAGAAACCTACACCAGCTGTATATACCAGAGACGACTACACCACAACTCCACCTTAGTCAAGTGTAATGCTTGCGAGGGGTGGAGTCACCTCAGAGTCTGCTCAGGATTACGAACACATCGGCAGTGGAACACATCACAACCACGACAGACCACAGAACACACATAACCGCACCCATACCCACACGCCGCCGCCAACAACTCCTGGTTCCTCCTACAATCTGCACAGTATGTCAGACCAGGATATTCCGTAATGTGACATCAGTCAAGTGCAACACCTGCCTTGGCTGGTGCCACTTTAGGGAATGTTTAGGTCTGCGCACCACGCAAGATTGGACGAGGAACTTCGAGGGCCCGTGTTGCACTGTACGGTCGGAAACCTCAACTGCGACGCCACCCACCACCACCAAGGCGGCAACCACCTCAGCAGCGCACACAGCCAATGGTGTCACGGCCACACACATCTTTCACACCCCGCATCCCCACACGTCTCCCGAACAACATGAAGCTCCTTCAATTTAACTGTAACAGGCTTCAGAGCAAGATCGAGGAGATAACCGTCTTCATGGGAAGGCATGGTATATTGATAGCTGCGGTCCAAGAGACGAAGTTGCACAGCAATTCAACATTGTTGAATTGTGCCGGGTACAACATGCACCGTCAAGATCGCGAGCGAGATAATGGTGGTTGCTTAGCGTTCATCACGCACCACACCGTGCAGTGTCGTCTCATCGAAGCAGACATCGACCGCAGGGATACCACCCTAGAATGTCAAGCCATTGCTATCCGATCAGGCGATGTTGAGCTCGAAATATTTAACGTGTACATACCCCCTGTCGGCAGGATATCACCCTGGTATAGGTACGCTCTTCAGAGGTTAAAACCGTATGGTAGTAGGTGACTTTAATGCGCAACACGATCTTTGGCACTCAAGCCTGTCAAAATATCGTAAGGGAACAGACTTGGCTGAGCAGATAGGCGATTCGACATTCTACACAATGAACGATGACGCACCCACCAGGATTATGGGCAGCTGCTGCAGCTCGCCAGACATAACAATAATCAGCGCTGGTCTGATAAACAGCATATCATGGCGACCTATGCTGACTTTGGCATCAGACCATCTGCCCATAGTCATCTCGATCTATAAACCAACCGACTTTGCTTCCGCGGAACACCGGACCTATATCAACTTTTCTAAAGCTGATTGGGAAGACTTCGCGGAATTTTCTAAAAGCACCTTCGCTGCTCTCCCCACACCAACCGACGTCCACCTTGGTGAACGTAAGTTCTGCAGGGCTGTCACCGCTGCTACAGCTCGCTTCGTACCGGCAGGATGTATTACGGACCCACGCCAAAATTTTACTGCTGAAGCGGCTGTTCTAGCCGACGAGCGTGGCAAGAGCATCTGAAGACCTATAACTTCACCTCTGGTGTGAGTAAGCTTTAATCAACCGTGAGGTCACTGTCCAATCCGACGAAGCACGACGAACAAAGTCGAAATTTCTTTCGGCGACCATGCTTCGTCGGATCCGGAGCGATGCGCGAGCTATTTTAGCCGGCAGCTCATACGGCATCCTCCGGTGGACAAAGCCAAGCGTCGAGCGACCAGAAGGCTGCACAAACTGCCAACAACTTGTGCCCCCCTTGCTTTCACTTGCGGTGAAGTTCAGGTGGCCATCGGGAAGGCGAAAGCCTCCAAAGCCATGGGTCCCGACGGAATATGCATGCTGATGCTGAAAAATTTGGGTCCTGCGGAAGTAGCGTACCTATCGGAGGTCCCAAGTCTGTCTATGGCCACTCTCACCATCCCAGACAACTGGAAGGTGGGGAGAGTGGTCCCACTGCTCAAACCGGGGAAACCTGCCAACAAAGGATACTCGTATCGGCCGATAACACTCCTTTCCCCGATAGCGAAGACACTTGAGGCCTTGCTGCACCCGTATTTCACGAACCACCTGACCCCAGGGAAGCATCATCATGGTTTCCGTTAAATGCACAATACAACAACAGTACTTAACGTCATAAATACGCAGATAACTCGTGGCCTTAACCGTAACCGTCCCGGTGAGAGAACGATTCTAGTAGCGTTGGACTTGTCAAAGGCATTTGACACTGTCAGCCATTCCACGCTACTAGAGGATATAGAGACTTTCTCTCTCCTACAGAGGCTCAAACAGTGGTCGGCAAATTATTGAGTGGTCGGTAATGTTTAGAGACAAATCGAGTAAACTCAGAAAAATAAAACAGGGGGTTCCACTGGGTGGTGTCCTTTCCCCGCTACTGTTCAACTTCTATGTTTCAAAGCTCCCTCAACCACCAGAGGGAGTCTCGATTGTCTCTTACGCCGACGATTGCTCGATCATGGCGACTGGGAATGGAATTGATGACTTGTGTTCGAAAGTAAACGGGTATCTCTCCGAGCTTTCTCGCTTCTTCACTGCACAATGTCTAGCCCTCTCCCCTACGAAATCCTCTGCGACCTTGTTCACAACCTGGACGAAGGAGGTCAGGCTACCGCTGGGAATTCACGTCGACGATACACCAGCCACAGACGTGGCCACCCAAACAGACAGCTGCTTACAGATGAGCCCTCGCCTAGGCACGTCAGGAGGCATCTATACGAACTGACGGACGAAGTCCAGAGGTTCATTAAACAGCCTCTGGATCCGTCAGCTTACCGACTGGCCCTGAAAGGCATTCACAGGGAGTCAGTCTCGAGTTATGTAGACTTTAGACCTGTGAATACCGGTTTAGGCACACAACTACCGGACATAAACGAGACGGAGCTTCATTTGTCTCGGGAGACAAGAACCACAATAGCCCAACTTAGCTCTGGCTACTGCAATAGGTTAAACTCATACCTGAGCAGACCGAACGCGGATGTGCCAAATGAGTGTCCGGCATGCGGAGAGACCCCTCAGGACTCGAAAAAACATCTCTTCGCATGCCCGGAAAACCCGACACCCCTAACTTGACGACAACGACTGAGATATCAACAGATCTGGGCGGGGTTGTTGTAGCCGCTAAAACAACAACAACATTAAAAAGTTAAAAATTTTGTGGAAATTTATCAAAATTTTCACAATTCGCACAAAGTCTGAAATTTGCATTTATATGGTGTTTGTTAGGTAATCAGCTATACTTTCATGATAAAAATATACATTAAATAAGCTAAAGAGAAATAGCCAAACTTGCTAAAATGTCGCGTCCCAGTTTTCACAAAAGCAGTGGTGTAGCCAGGATTTGGCCTTGGGGGGATGAAAAAAATGTCCATCGATAACTTAAATTTGTGACGCAAAATGGCTAGAGGCGTCGCCTGAATGCGTTCTTTCATATATTTATGTATGTGCCAGTTTTACCGTTATATATTTTTTATCTACTCGTTTATTCCATGGGGTATTCATGCTTTATTTAAATTTAAAAAACTAAATTACTATACCGTTTTAAAAATCTGAAAATTCACTGCGGGAAATTTTTTTATTCTCTTTTTGTCTTCGCCTTCTCGTTTTTGCCTTTATAAGTTTTGAAAAAAGGTTTTGAACGAACCGTTATATCACATTCCTAGGCAAGTTTCGAAAGAATATTTTCGATACTAAATTTTATTAAAACAAAATGTTGAAATCAGCTTCATATAGAAACAGTGTCATCGTTAATTAAGAAAGAAATGTTCTTAAACATGATAACATACATAGTAAGGTAGAACCGCTGAGAGTAACTTTTAAAATTCTTGATGTTTCCAAACAATTTAATTTTTAAATTTACTCACAAACTCACAAACACATTTTCATTTTCAATGTCAAGCAACAACAATTTCGAACAATTTCAATTTTTTATTTTCACTTTTATATGATTTTAAAATGTTGGCAAACTTCAAAAAAAAAGTCATGGCCGACAAATTGAGAGAACGGTTCTACCTTGCTATGTTTATATCATGTTCTTAAATATGATGTATTATGGAACGAATTTCCGTCATCCCTTGTCAAATTTGG